GTAAGAGGGAACTTCGGATATTGATTCTGGTTCACCCACTCATTGTCATTATTATTATTGGGGAGAAGAATAAGATTGGAGAAGTTAAGGAGGAGGAGGATAAGATTGGAGAAGTTGAGGAGGAGGAAGGTGGAGAGAGAAGGGGGATTTGTCATTGGTCTTGCTGCTGTACATCTTCTTCTTCTTCTTCTTCTTCTTCTTCTTCTTCTTCTTCTTTTTCTTCTTTTTCTTCTTTCTCTCTTCTCTGGTCTCTGTCTCTTTGCAAGTGCTTTCATTTCTTTCGCAATTGGGTGGCATTGTCTTTCATTGTGAATTTGCACTTTGGGAATGACCAGGATCATAACAATTGGTATCGGAGCGGACTTACTTGCTGACAAGAGGTGTTAATCAAAGTTGCTTCTTTGGTCTTCAGATATCGACGGGGGATCCGGCGTTGTAACAAGGGTGTAGGGAGGCCCTCTTAGTCATGCTAGGAATTCGTGTAGTGGTAGCTAGGGGTCAGGCGGACCTATGAGAGAGGGGGGGTGAATCGTTATCCATCTTTGGAGGCCGGGCCTCACAGGTAAGTGCCGTGTGACCTGGTTATGCCCGTGGGAGGTTGCTTGGTGCTTCATGGCCTGTTGGGGTGTGTTGGACTCTCTTCCTCTTCTCTGGTGTCTTGGTTGTGTGTGTGAGCATGTGGATTGCTTTCTCACCTGATGGATGGATGGATTATGTATCTTGTTCTCAATGACATATCTTTCTACGCTGCATTGTCTTTTCATTTCTGAACGGCTGTAGGGGTAAGTTCTTGCTGAAAGTTGTCTTTTCCTTTTCAGTACGGTAGAGGCAGTTTGGGACTGACTTGGTACACCTATCTCGTTGGCCCTGGTCCACGACCTACTTGGGACCTTCCGGACTCAATGGGACCAGGCCCAACAGGACAGGACCTTTAGGGCCCAAATTTGTTGTCGTCAATGCATCTCTTTGCTGTGCTGAATTTGGGGGACATACGGCTAGTAAGGGCATTCCTTCAAGGGGATCTTGACTGGTCTTACTGCATGTTCTTACATACTACCCCGCGTCTGCCTCTGCGACCGTCTGCACCCCTCGAAATCTCCATTGCTGCAGTTAGTTTTTTTCGGCTGACCTATGGTGGTACATGCTCCTTGTCTGATTAGACAAGAGGGGATCTCCAACTAATCTGATCGGGCCCGTTCGATAAGTCAGTCCTCTCTTTCGTTTTTAATTATTTAATTATTTATCTTTATTCTGCTGCGTAAATGTCATTCTCTAAGTCCAAATGAATTGCCGCTCCGGCTTGGAGTTCTACCTCCTACTCTTTGTGATTCACTGTTATTCCTTTATTTGAACTATCTATGTCCGGTACTGAGACGCGTGCGCAGAAAGCGAAAGAGAGAGAAGGGAGAGAGGGGTTCTTTTTGAGAGTGTGAGGAAGGGTAAGAGGAGTATTCGTCCAAAAGTGAGCAAAGTGCGGACCCCTCTTTAGAGATCTACTGACGCCCTATCCTCCAGCATGGCAGACATCACATCCGAGCAATGGAAGGCCATGCTGGACGCAGCGGCCGAGAACGAGAAACCTTTCTTTCAGAAACTTCATGAGGACGCAATACATAGGGAGAGGGAGGCAGAGGCATCAGCCAAAGCCACAAGTATTGCAGAACAACTGACCGTCCTCGAGGTTCCGGAATCGACTGATGACCGGTTCCAAGAGAAGCTAGCTGTTGCCGTAGCAGCCTTGGTTCGACTGCGGACCTTGGAAGATATAGTGTCCCGTGTGACAGCTCTGGAGCAGCGGAACCAAGAGCTGCAGGCTGAGATAGTCAGCCTCAAACAAGTCCCAACTGTCTGCCCCCCATCCTCCTAATCCTTGACCCGCTGAAGTCCCAGTCTCTCACCCTAACACAATCCTCATGACGAGAGCAAGTGGAACTGTGACGAGCGCAAGAACTGGTGCCAGCTCCTCAAGCGGCAGCGCCGACAGTTCTGCACTGGTCCTAGTTCCAAATGCAGGAACATCAACCCAAAACGCCACAGTTCTTACTGGCGTACAATACAGCGGTCCCGTAGTGGACAAGAGGGCAGCCACTCTGCCATCCAAGTACGACAGGAAGGGGGACATCGCCTCTTGGATTAGCTCCATGCGCTCATACTTCGAGGTACTGCGAACACTGCAGGAAGACCGAAGCATGATCATGGGCACAAATACTGAGCCCGTCGTACGAAGTTTCATAGAACTCCAAGCTGTTACTGGTTATGAGAGAATTGATCTGACTGAGTGGTTGAAAGTAACTCCTGTACGTACTCTTGAGGACCTCATCATCACGCAGCATCAAGATAAGCACGCTACACTCAAGGCAAGGCTAAAGCTTGAAGCCCTCAAGGGCCAAAAGTGGAGGACTTCCATGCAGGCTTTGGAGCAACACTTGACTGGTTTGTTCACCACTCCAAACCTGGGATGGACTGACGTGTCTTGCATGGATGTGGTTATGGGAGTGGCCCCTGCAGGATATGTCTCCCGACTAGGACTCAAAGACCATACGACTTTGCGAGAGCTACTGACAGATCTAGTCAATCTAGAAGCCAAGGACCTCGCTAGGCGTGCAAAGGCACCCGCTGCAGGTAGAACCTCGCAACGCACGCGGTACGGAAGCAGCAACAAGCTTGCCCTGCATGAACATCGGGAAGTTGAGGATCAATCCTATGCGGATGATCTGTCTCTAAATGACGATCTAGAGCAGGACTCCGACGTGGGTTGTTCTACATCAGCCCTTGAGTCGGACATGAATACTGAAGAAAAATGCAATGCCTTTAAAAAGACTTCTTCAAGCAAGGGGCGTAACCGTGGTTAAAGGGACTATAGCACACCTCCGCAAGAATGCAAAAATCCCTGAGAAACCGGAGGATGCTTCCACCAAGCCTTGGGAAGCCCTCCGCATCAGTCAAAAGGAATGGAAGAGAAGATCCAAACTGCGTGTGTGCTTGCATTGTCAAAATCTTGGGCACACTGTGCAGGACTGTTATCGTCTGCAGGGAAACAGGCAAAGGACGTAGACGAGTCATCAACACTCTCTACAACAAGGGAAGTTGAACAGTCAGTTGCGGGCCCCTCCAAGGAGCCTGAATCTGATCAACAACCTGCTCTTGAATCCCGGACCGATGCTGAATCCAAGGCTGCTGTACACTGAGCCTTGGGAGGAGACTAAGGAAGTCGACTTCCACTCTCACCTGGAACATTGGCTGCAGCTCAAGCAGCAACGCCGTGTTCAAGGGAGTGTGGAATTGATCTTCTTTAAGCTGCTCATTAACCGCTGATACATCCGTGTGCTGATTGATAAATACTCAACGACTAACTTCTTTTCTCCTAACGGGATTCGTAAGGCGGGCCTGGGAATGAAGCAAGTGGAATTGCAGAACCCTCGTCAGACCCAGGTGGGCAACCAAGAGGTTGTCACCTCAACACATGCTGTCAAAGGTGTGCGTGTCACTTTTGACAAGGATCGCACTGCCACACATGAGCTGAACTTTTATGTCATGGACAAGTGTCTTTTCGATGCGATCATTCACCTGGGCTGGTTTAGGGCTCATTGTTTAAGGACCACGGGGCGGATACTCAGTTCGTGGTGCGTGATGCCAAGGGGAACGAGCGTACCGTTCTACTGGACAAGACGCGCGAGTCCCCTGTGACCCTATTGAGTGTAAACAAATTCTGCAAATCAGTGCGCAAGCGCAAGGAAGCTGAGCATGTGCATGTAGCTCTTGTAAAGCCTCTCCATGTGCCTTCCACTTTTGCAGCATTTTCTACCTCGAAAAGTAATTCTACTTTTACTCCCTCTACTTCCATTCCATTTACTTCTACTGTAAAAATCAGTCCACTTCTGATCCAAGTACGTCGAATTCGGTTGTAATTGCTGTAAATACTCAATTCGATTTTCTCTCTCTGATGAGGATGATCCTCCACCGGACGTCCCAAGACTCCCAACAAACATTCGTCGTTTATTAGATCGATTTCGTGAAGTTCTGGCTGAACCTCGTGGAGTTCCCGAGCGTCCGGTCAAACACAAGATCGAGATAATAGAAGGGAGTGTTCCTCCAAAGAGCTGCGTCTACCATATGGGACAAGGCGAGTTGGAAGAGTTGAGGAGACAAATTGATGACATGATTGATCGTTGATGGATTAGGCTTAGTGAGTCTGAGTTCGGTGCACCTGTCCTGTTTGTGCCGAAGATAGGAGGCAAACTCCGGATGTGTATTGACTATCGCGGCCTAAACCGTATCACCCGAAAAAACGCTTATCCCTTGCCGCGCATAGATAATCTGCTAGGTGTTGCAGGTGGGTGCAAGGTCTTCTCCAAGATCGACCTCAAATCTGGCTACCACCTGAAGTTGATCCGAGCGACCAGCACAAAACTACATTCAAAACACGCGATGGGCTATACGAATTCATCGTTATGCCCTTCGGTCTTACGAATGCACCAGCCACATTTTAGTGCCTCATGGACAAGGTTCTCCGCCATCAGCTCAACAGGTTTATTGTTGTTTACCTCGATGATATCTTGATTTTCAGCAAGTCCATGGAAGAGCACGTCAAGCACCTTGAGGAGATTTTGCAAGTCCTCAAGGAGGCACAACTGCACCTCAACTTAGAAAAATATGAGTTTGGAAAGGACAACATCATCTATCTTGGGCACCGGTTGTCTGCAAACGGCCTTGAGCCAGAGGCAACCAAGGTCGAGGTCATATGAAAGTGGCCTCAACCAGCGAACGGACGCGAACTGCGTTCTTTTCTTGGTTTGGCCTCGTATTATCGAAAGTTTGTGCCCAGAAAATTTGTCATTGCTCACGCACTCTCGAGACTAACAAGCAAGAATGTTGCCTATGCGTGGTGCGAGAAATGTGAGACTGCATTCCAAGCCTTGAAAGAGGCTTTGGTAAGTCATCATGTGCTCCACATTGCGGATCCCAACCTCACGTTCGTGGTCACTACGGACGCGAGCCAGTATGGGATTGGTGCAGTGCTGCAACAAGATGATGGCGATGGTCTGCGTCCGCTCAAATATTACAGCAAACGCATGCCCACCCACAAGGTAGCTACCTCCACATATATGCGTGAACTCTATGCTTTGCAAGAAGCGCTCACACATTGAAAGCACCTGGGTCGTCACTTCAAGGTCTACTCAGATCATCAGACCTTGCAGTGGATTAAAACGCAAACTGATCTCTCTCCGACACTGACTCGCTGGCTGCATGACATTGATGTTTACAACTTCGAATTGAAGCATAAGAAAGGTTATAATCGTGTTGTTGATGCTTTGTTGCGTCATCCTGAGTTTTTGACTTGCCTTGTGAGCTCGTATGACCTCTGAAGGAAACTGAAGGAGGATCTGGTTGAACACACTGCCAAGGATCCGAACCTTAATCCCATCCTTAAGCAGCTCGAGGTTGACCCCAACAGTCAGCCAGATTTTCACGAGTGCGAGGGTCTTGTATTCCGCCGGTATGGGAAGTTTGATCGTTTGTGTGTACTCAACCATGCGCCTCTCCGGACTCATTTCTTGGATTTGGCACATGGTCGAAGTGGACACTTCGGCTTTGAGAAGACTTATGAAAGTCTTTTGCAGCAGTTTGATTGGTCGGGAATGAAGGCATCTGCTCGGAAATTTATTGTTGAATGTCAAGTCTGTCAAAGAACCAAGGTTCATAAGCATAAGCCTTATGGCCTGCAGAAAACCCTTCCGATCCCTGATGGGCCTGGTGAGTCGGTCTCTATCGATTTCACGGACATGGGGAAGGTGAGCGAGGGAGGACATTCACAAGTCATGGTCATTGTGGATCGTTTTTCCAAATTTCTGAATTTGATTCCTCTACCTCCTCATGCACCAACTGAGCTAGTGATTGAAGAATTTCACCAGCACTACATTCTGCAGTATGGACCCCCGAAAACTCTTGTGAGTGATCGGGACACCAGGTTCATTAGTGCTAATTGGAAGGACATCACTTCGCAGATCTATGACATTAAACTCAACAAAACTTCTGGTCGACACCCCCAAGGCAATGGATTGGCAAAGGAAATCAACCAGACTGTCATTCAACTATTCGCGCATTAATTGTTCCAGATCAGAACACGTGGGACAAGGAGTTACACAAAGTGAAAGGGTTGTACAACAACTCCATTCACTCTGCAACTGGCATGACACCGAATCAACTACAATATGGTTGGCAGTTGCACAATCCTCTCTCCTGTTTGTTCCCCGAACGGTCCCCTGGTCTGACGCCCGGCACGCCTGGCTACAATGCCAAGTACGCACGCCTGCTCAAAGCTGCTATCGCAGCAATGAACAAGCATCGGCATGTCATGATCAAACATGTTAACAAGTCGCGCAAAGAAGGGAACTTCAAAGTAGGGAGTTATGTCTGGGTCAAAATGTCTAAGTTTCTGACGAAGAGGGCGTATCACGAAAGCTTCTTCCGTTGTACTATGGCCCTTGGCAGGTTCTAAAGGTGATTGGGGATGATTTTGGTCCTTCGTATGTGATTGACGTGCCTCCTCATCTGCGCACATATTCGATCTTTCACACGTCCAAACTGTTTTCACATATCAGTGACGAGACTTTTCCCTTCCGAGATCCTATGATACCTCATCCTATCGATGACGGCCATGAGATAGACAAAATTGCTTCCCATGAAGGAAGAGGGAGGAACAGACAATACAAGGTGCACTTCCTCCATCACCCGTTGAACGAGTTTTTCTGGATCGATCAAAGAGAGCTGCTAAAGAATGCTCCATGTGTTGTTAACGCTTATGAACGACAAATTATTGATGGACAAACTGCTAAGTTTTCTGCAAAACTCACTCCTCACAGTTTCACTAAATCTCTTTTTCTGATCTACGCCTACGATGCATTTTGTGCCGACTCTGAATGAGTTACTCGCTCGAAGGGACCTCGCTCTTAAGAGGGGGGTAATGTAATGACCCGCCAAAAACACAGACTGAGAACACTGCTGATTCTGGGATTTGCCGCTGGAATGAATGCCTTGCTGAGATTCCCGCATTCTGTTGTGGTTTCCATGTTTGTCTGTGTGTGCATGCCTGTCTAAGTGCTTGTTGGCTGAGTGTGTGTGTGACCCGCATGGGTACTTGTTGGTTGAAAGGCCCCGCAGGGCCGGTACT